TCTTATTGTAAAGTGATACCTATTGGTCTTTATAGTTCTTTTGCACTTTAATCTGTGTAAAACTTTTAACTTTATAAATTTTTCTGTATTGCTTTATTGCATTTAAATGTTCAGTTATTTTTGTTATAAGAAAAAAGTTATTAAACCTATTATACTGTATTATGACAGCACTTTTTTTAAAACTAAATTTCAATATCGTGATAATACCGCATACCGTGATAAAAGCATTAGCAATTAATCGCAACAGGAAAAATTGATACCGGCATACCCCTACACATGACATTTGTGTGACAACGGTTTAAAAGAGCTCCTACACTAAGAATACTACTACTACAGTATTTATTCACGTTGAATTAGCCTTTATTTTTGTGATTTACATTTCTTTTAAAAAAATTGTTTTAAGTTTTAGTCATTTATTTTTGTGATTATTAGTTTTTATATATTTTTAGTTTTGGTATTTCTAATTTCCATTATACTACTATCGTTCATAAGTTTTGTTTTTCTTTTTTAAGAAATTAATGTTTTACATAGCAAAGCATATCTTTTTAAAATAAATTGTATTCAAATGAATTCTATTTCATATAAAGTTGTTCTTTTGTGTATAAAAATAGCAGCACAATTGTTTCAACATTGATGATAATCAGAAATGTTTCTTGAGCAGCAAATCAACATATTAGAATGATTTCTGCAGGATCATGTGACACTGAAGACTGGAGTAATGATGCTGAAAATTCAGATTTGAACAGGAATAAATTAAAGTGTCACAATATAAAACAACAGAAATCAGTTATTTTAAACTGTAATGCTATTTCACAATATTACTGCCTTGGTGAGCCGAAGAGGCTTCTTTTTAAAAACATTTAAAAATCTTGCAGACCCAAACTTTTGAACAGTAGTGTGTATAAAACACACTCAACGATAATCACCATTGTGGCCACAAATAATGCATGTATGATAATGCATGTATGAACGCACATATTTCTCTCTGTCTAACAGAGCTTTAATTACTGCATACACATCAAACATTTCTACAGACTATATACATAAAGCGACATCTCAACAAAGTCAGGCAAACTTGAAAAAGCCATGAGCCAGCACAGCTTCCGCTCATCTGCACACGCTCCAGACAACCAGATCCGCACATCAAATCCCATATGCTGGCGTTCTGATAGTCCCACAAGAAGCCAATCCAATTACACAACAAACAATACATGGAGAGAGAGACACTGCCACGATAGGAGAGCAGAGTAATGCCTAGAGAAAGAGGAAAAGGAAATGGTTGAGAATATGTCCCTAATGCGCATACGAGTCACAAAGCGCCACAGATCCAGCTCTTATCTTATTAGGAAGAACACTGTACCAGATGACATCGTTCTGAGCTTTCTCTCACACACACTCGAGGAAATGCACACTTAAAGACACAAATGATCATATGAGCTCAGCTCAGACCGCTTGATTGGAATTTCAAAGCCTGGCTAACAGGTGGCTAAACACACCACAATAATGCACAACCGCTACAGGTTATTAATTATATAAGAGAACTTTAGAACGTCAAATAGAGAAACTGAGGAAAAAAAAGTGAGCCACCTCAGTGTCTGTCTATATAGGCAGCAAACTTCTCAGGCAGAATCTTTATTCTACAGAGATAGAAACCAATCAATCAATCAATAAAATTCAATGAAAAATATTTACAATGATATACAATGATATTTATCTTATTTGTGAAGTAAAAAATTAACATCCTGATGCTACAAATGAAAACCAAGTGAGCAAAATGAAACAAAACAAATAAATATAAATAAATATTAAATTCAAATATTATCAATAAAATAATAATCCTGACACTATTGGGAAGTGAGTAAATAAAATAAAACTATAAATAAAAATAAACAAACAAATAAAATAAAATAAAATCAAAATAAGATTAATAAAGTCCTGATGCTATGCTACTGAGTAGTTTTCAGTATTCGGTACCAATACCAGTGAAAATCCACAGTTCTCGGTACCAATTTCGGTACCAAAGCAAAACACAAAAACATGCTAATTGAACAACATTTTTATTAA